AAGTTTAATGCAAAAGAGTATACCGAAATATTCTACTGCGACGAAAATTCTTTTGATGCTTTCGTGCATGCTTCCATTTTGTTTTGTTTCGAGCATTGCTGATGAAAAATATATTTCCGAAATTCGCATATGGCGAATCAAATTAAGATTGTTTACAATATAGAGAATATTGGCCGTAAAAATACCCAAAAATATAGAGAAAAAATGACCCCAAAATAAAGATTAAGATAAGGAATACCCAGTCCAGACCTTGTGTATGTAATATTTAAAAATACGCAGTTAATGTCTGTACAGAAAAAAATCCACGATGAACTAGTATAGCATATACAGAGAAAAGCGGGGAAAACAAAGTGCATTTACAAATATACAGTTCTTTTATTACTGTCACTGGCAAGTTATTTACTTAATTACGCATGCTTTCATTAGTTTCGTTTGAGTTTGTAGTATTTGATTAATATATTAATTGTTGCAATATTCAATATCAACTATTTTACTGTTATCACATGTTAATGATACCTTATAAAATTATATTTTGACATTAGGATACATATCTTCTACAACTATAAGTTGATAAATCAACTGTGCTTTAATATATTATGACATTTTAATGTTCAAGCACATAATGACTGTTGTTGCGATATTTAGAAAAAAACATGAAGTTTTTGGAATGAACTAAATATGCTATCTTAATTCAAACAATGAAAAGGGAAAAATAAATCATTTTGTCCGACATTTAAAAATTAATGAAATAAACATTATGATTATTAAAAGGTAAATATAACGATCGATCACAACTTATACTATTTTTTGCCACCATTCTACCGATATAAAGATAAAAGCCAGATTACGATGTTGATATCCGGAACCTCCTGACAAACAAATTTGAAAGAGTTAGGTGCGAACAGGAAACAAATATTTTGAAATGTAAAAAAAATAACACATCAGTTCAGCATATTTTGTTTTTGGTGAATTTTGTAAAAATATTAATTCTTCAAGGTTAAATATAGTATTTATACATTGAAAACGAAAGTTTAACTACTGTGAACCAAAATAAAGGTTGCACTTTGTAAATACAGCTGATTTTGGGGAGATATATAATATTCATATAATTTTTTTTTTATATGTTAATTTGTTAACGTACTGGTTCCCAGATTTGATCTCTTATTGTCATTAATAAGGGTTGGCACTCACTCAAAGATCTCTCTAATACTAGTACATCCCGTTTTCTTCTATAAATTGCAAGAAAGAAGAAGATTTTGTTTTAACTAGAATCTAAAAGCTTGCAGATACATGTATTCATTTGTAAACAAAAGAATATACGATTAATCTATAATGGCTTTGGAGACAGGTTTATATATTGGATGTAGAATATTGGTCTGTGGCTTACATGTACAATAAAAGACACCTTAAAGAAACGTGCAAGGGTTCTGCAACGTGCAGAGAGTGTGTGGCACTGTTTCTACACGAGGCTTCATATTTGACGCTCCTACTCCGACAAGACGTGACTGTGTACTTATACATCCCACAGAGCCAAAACGTACGCACCTCTCTATATTAGGTTTAACTGCTTGACGGAAACAGTCCAGGAATGACCATATTTCTAATCCCACTCAACCCTCGGGGGTAATATTCGATTGTAATCTCTATAGTAAAAATAAACTCTCCCTTATGAAGATAATAACCACCGTATATACTTTGTTTATGACAATAACCAAAAGCGTTGTTTATCGATTAAATATCAATTATAAAAAATAATCACAATGAGAATAAAATATTTTGTTTACTTTAAATTAATAAAATAGAAATATGTGTGAACTGAAGGAAAACAGGAATCATAATTAAAATTAAAATTATTTATTCGATACAAACACGTATAATTGTTAAAGGTACGTATATTATTTCCTTTTAAAAATTCATTAGGTTTTTTGGAATGTTTATTTTGTTTTTCCGTACTAGACTACTTAAAATCCGTTATGAAAATAAATGACAGCTTATATAAAATGTTCTTCCACTTTCGCTACTGTGTATGAATAATCAATTTTAAGCTTATAAAAATATGAGATGAAAATATCTAATCAACACAAAATTATGCAAAATACATTATTTTTATGTATTGAAGTATTAGTGATCTTAAAATTTTACATTTCGTTCACTGATTCGATACAAATGGATATGAAAGTCGTTATCAGTCTGTATAATATATACTTTGAACTTGTTGAAAACGGATATTTGGGCGGTTTAATTCGAATGGGCGGATTTAAAATTTTAGTCATCAGATGAATTTGTTAATTCAATCAATAATGATATATAACATATGCAATTATCAATGATCAACAGGTGTTCCAGAGTATATAAAAAGCTGGAGTATATCAAAATAAGTTTATGTGTATATGATCTTAGACTTACTACATGAACACCCGAATTGCATTATAAGTGACCGAGAGTCTTATGATCAAAGATCAAGAGGTGTTCCAGAGTATTTGTAAAGCCGGAGTACATATAGGTTTGTGCGTATATGATTATAGAGCTACTAAGATTTAAAAAACTCGAACCAGTGTCGTGAGTAATCATTTATCTACTTATAAAAAATCCTATAAATTCATTCCGCTTCGTTATTTATCAAAGATGAAAGCTTTTGAGAGAGAGAGAGAGAGAGAGAGAGAGAGAAAGAGAGAGAGAGAGACTCACAGAACGAGTTAAACCCTGTCAAATGGTTTAAATCCCAGTCTAAACACAGAATCCAGTTGTTTTGCGTTGCATTTTAGTAAATTGTATTTTGATCTCTCAGTATAGGAACTTGATTTACATCGTGTCTAGACTTATCCATTTTAGTGAGGTTTGATAAATAGAAAAAGAAGACTTATTCTATAATATGCCTTTATTTTCTGTCATTGATGTAACATAACATGTCGTAGTTGTGCAGAAAGATCGCCAATTATATTTATAAACACGACTGGGTTGCGAGCACGTCAATTATTGTCAAATTCAACAGATTTGATTGACACTTTATGAATTTAATTGAAGTTTGTGCAATCTAGTCAAGGCATACATTTCTATAATGTAGAGGTTGAAATATATTTTTCTCAACCTCACTTACTTACAAATTGAATGATGACACGACGAGCGACACTAATAGAGAAGGAAATGTTTTGTTGTTGTCTATTTTTATTGGATTTATGTTTTTTGGTTGACCCAAATGTATCTTCTCCCTTTTTAAACTCTCTTATATCAAAAATTACAATAAATTACAAATTTGAAGGTTTTGTGCGCTCGTAAACCTGGCGTTTGCTCGTTTTAATCGATTTGATCATTGATAATCTACTACTGCATTAAGGCTGATCTGACCACGTGTTGTTTTTTGTTGTTAGTTTTGGTTTGTACGTCAATTTTTTTCTGAGGATTCGGGGGAGGGGGTTGGGGTACTTCTTTTGTACTGTCTTCAGGGGCGGATCCAGAATTCATGAAAGAGGTGGGGAGTAATTATAAAAATAAACTGAATACATACCACCGAGCGGAGCGACGCGATAAACGTTTTAGACTATTAAATGCTGAACGATCATATAACTCGTGAGAAACATGAGATTTTGTAACCAAAGGAGGGGACACACGCCCTCTACGCCCCCTGTATCTGCCAATGGACTTATGTTGTCAATAATTTCTGTTTTCCTTTTATGTATACGATAGATATTCATTAAGCTTTATGACAATACTTTTGTGAAAAATATTTATTTAGCAATCTTGTTTTGACATCCAAGTTCATAATGTAAAAACATGTCTTCGTATTATACATTGAAGTTAATCCTTATAAATAAAAATATGGTTTGTCGGCATAAAATCAAACAAATATGTTTGTTTAAAGTAGACTTGTACAACATAGATATTGTAATGTCGAGAATTACAACTCAATGACGAACGTCCTTGTGTCGGTTTTTTTTATGATTTCTGTAAACGTTATATGACTTTATTCCAGTACGGTATATGTTGTTGTTTATCTGAAAAATACATATAGAAAAAACATATTTCATTAAGCAGATTTGATTTTCTATATGTATATATATATATATATGCAGTTTTTATTCTCAATATGCCTTTAAGATGAATAACCCATTAACATGTTAGAATTCATATCAAATGTTATATTCAAATTAATTGGGAAACTGTTTCTTACTTCAAGGTTAAGATCCTACAAAGTTTTGTTGTAATAATGATATTGTAAGCATTACGTTAAACTTTGTAAACCCACTAATACTCTCTCTTATATTAATTGGTGTTTTATCCCAGTTTATTACTTTTAATTGGGAAAAAGTTAAATATTTACACCTGATATTATGTCATTACTTTCTCATATCTTTATTCAATCGGCAAATGAACAGATATTTAAATCACCTTTCAATGGGAAAGAAATGTCAAACATGGATCAATAAAAAGATAATGAAAAATGTATTAATATGTTTGAACTGCAAACTTATGGTATTTGCAGTATGTCGTAATTGCTCTGAAAAGTTATCTCTCTCCATCAACTTGCACCTTCGTGTCATGCAAATGTCAAATGCACACTATAATTTAATGACGCGAAAATAACCAATCGGATTCAAAACGGAGGAAAAATAGGAAGAAAAAAGGGGGGTACAAACAACATTAATTGTTATGCAAGTTTATTCGAAAGTGATAATTTGAAAATGGACATTTCAGCCAAACAAAGGTTTTAATTGTCAACGAAATGGCAATGAAAGCAATACAATTTACATAGTTTGGTTTTCAATTTTCTAATATAAGTATAATGCAAAAGAGTATATCGAAATATTCTACTACGACGAAAATCCTTTTGCTGCTTTCGTGCTTTCATTTTGTTGTGTTTCGAGCATTGCTGATGAAAAATATATTTCCGAAATTCGCGAATCAAATTAATTTCGGCATTTGTAAAAATCATAATGGTACTTTGTTTGCTATTATGTTCACTTTGTTTCAAATATATTTTTTCTGTATGCATTTAATTTCAGGGTTTCTTCAAGACCAAAATTCTGAACTATATAGAATGATTGAAGAAGGCTGGTAATTATTTGGAACAAATGATAATATCACAATTGTAAACAGCTTAATTGATGGAAATCAGTTAACATTGTGTAAAGCTCAAACAATACAATTTCTCGAAAACTGTGACAAACAGTCACCGTAATAAACTTACCGATTGTCAATGTTATTTTATTTATTAAGATGACTTCAGTATTTGCCGAGATCTCAGGTCGTTTAGAATCTTCGAGACCTAACGGGTTCAGACAAGATCTAACAACTAAACCACCAAATGGATTACGGAAAAGTATGACTCTACGACCGACAAATGACCAGTTGTCTATGATAGAAACGCACAACAACGAAGCCATTCGAGCTGGAAAATGTGCATATTTATCTGATGGTGGAGAGGATTCGGACAATGACGATGGAAATTATCGTCGGGGATCGATAGATTTATCACCTTACTCGTCCGATTCATCGTCCGAAGATGAAAATTATAGAAGGAACCAGCTAAGGTATGAGCATTACGATCCCGATATGTTTGAACCAGACGAAATATACGACGAAAGAAACGAGGAAAGTGACGATTGCAATTTCGGTAAATCGACGAAACGGCACATAATGCGTGAAATACTTCACAATGGTGTGGAAATCCGGCCTAATATTATCGACGATTTTGGAGGCTGGGATACAACATTTACTGTTAAAAATTCAAAACCATCAAGGTCGAATATTCGGCGATACACTAAAATTCCCCGAACGCCATCGTCGGCATTTCCACGACCCAATACCGAACCAAAGGACTCAACCTTTTTATTTAAACATTATGACGATATTTCCGAGTATATTAAACAATACAGAAAAGAAGAATCTATTAAAGACAATCGTTTAAAGACCGCTAACGAGGGAGAGGAGGCCATGTTGATTCCTGATCCATATGCTGCGAAATTAAAGGGAAATATGTGGTGAGTATTGAAATAAATATTTCCACCTTATTTTTCTATTTAAAACAAAGAAAATTTTTCTAAAACAACAAATATCATATTTTTATATAAAATAAAGAAATGTGGTTTGATTGTTCATAAAACAACTATCGATATGGTTTAATTGCCAATGAGACAATTATCCAAAACAGACTAAAAGACGTAGATGTTTGCAACTGCATGGTTGTCGCCGTGTGGCCTTTAACAATGAACAAAACCCATACCGCATAGCAAGCTATAAACGGCCCAGACATAACACAATGTAAAGCAAACTTATGCACAAAACAACAAACGAAACCCAAATACGACAACTACTGACTTGGGACAGGCAAATATCAAATGTGGCGGGGTTAAACATGCTTGTTAGCACTGAACTCTCAGTCCCCAACAGTGGACAGTGGTTTACCAGCACAACAAAAGAACAGACTTTTGAAGACTGATACAATCAGATTATGCGACATCATTCAACCAACCAATGAACGCCATAACAACACATACTATTCTGATGCAATTTTAATACAAGTATGCATTTTGGACTAAATTTTAGTTCATTTGTACTAATAATTTGGGAACTAATATTCCAATCAAATGTTAATATTTTAGTAGTCCATGTAAGAAGTGTGCCAGACGAAATCGTTGGAAAATCAACACGAACGATTCCGTTCATTATTTCATTAAATTTGACAAAATGTGTCGATATTTATTTCAACCGACTCCAATAAGAATAGCAAGTGCGCAAAAACAGCAGAAGGAGAAAATACGGTACAATCAAATTCATTTGTAGATAATAAAGTAATTGATAAAGGTTATATAATGGGAAAATTATAGTTGGTAAGGATACATTTTTGTCTCTGTCAATTAGCGTAACAATCTAATTGACGTATAATTTTGTGATTTATTTATTTTTTTGTTTCTTGAAGTTGAAGTTTTAGATGGTTTGATTACATGTAGGAGTACTCGTTTTTTGATAGTAAACTTAGTACATACATGTAGTATATTATCATATAAGGGTGGCGTTGTCTGGAACCTTAACCAAAAATACTTTTTATTAACTGATATTAACATTAGTACTATATTGCCAATTACAAATTCTTTATAACATTTATTCTCTGCTATTAAAACATCCATTGGATGTCATGCCTTTTACTAACTTTTGTTTTTTTATTAAAGTCATATTTTATTGTAATTGACTTATTAGGGTGAACACCTTAATCAATGCCCGTTTACACATATTCTGTACCTATGTCAATGTACATGTTGAATATATTACCCTCATTGTCTTGTTGTCTATGCAGCTAAAGAATTCTCTCGTCCTGTCGTAGGTTCGACCCCCCACGCCAGTAAGGTCAATTCAGTTACTCAAAATTGGAATTTTCTGCTTCTCCATAATGCACACGGCATTTTTTACAGCTTATATTTATTGGTTTTAGAAAACATAAAACATGTGCAGTGTTTTAAATGAACTCGATTGTGAAACAAAAAGCATTATATAGAATAATCTATAGTCAGTACAGACTTTGTTTCCTGTTTATTAAGTGCTGTAATTAAAAGCATAATCAATAAAGGACATATTTCGTTTGAAGCATTATAATTCAAGTTTTGTGATTTTATCAATGACTAAACAATTAAAAATTAGAACAAAATATTTCGCACATCTAATATAAATCTTTTATTACAATATAGCATTTTGAAAAAAATGCCCAAATGAACAGTATACCTTCGTGTTTTATACACATACAAACGTCCATCGCCAGTTCTAACTCTTACAAAAAAAATGTAATATTATAGAATTCAAGTTTCCAAAATTCATATTCATTTTTGTCAATAAGTGTGCATAGACGTGTTTCACATTCTACTTAGCGTTTTAGAATGGATTGGTCAAATGCAATATGAATGTTCTCCGTTAGTTTGTGTAAATTGTCGTTTAAACATATTTTTCACATCCATTCATTTTATGTTTTAACCTCTTTTTTAAATTCTCACATTGATACAGTGTATGATGACCAACTTGAGCGTGATGCTGTCAATTTTTGTATTTTACCAATTGATTCCTATTCCCGAATCCGACATTTTAACTAGGTTCACTGAGCGGGTGGTGCATAAATGAAGACGATTACACTGCCGACGCATCCGTGCTCTCTCCTTTCGGAGTTCATGCTATTCCCTCAAGTTTTTGTTTGTTTCCATGACTTGTCTCTTCTTAATTGATTTACCAAAGGAAAACTTCGGTAAACTACTGTCGTCAAAATTTATGAATGACTTGGTCCAAAAATTCTCATGTTGGTGATTGGATTTATGTAATGGACAAAGTGATATATATTACAGAAACTGACTTTTATCTTTTAAGTATTATATTTTGTTAAAGTCTGCACTTGTCCACCTTCCTATGATGTGACATTAGCAATTTTGTTAATCTCGTACGGTATGACGTTGTTTATTTGTAGTTCCATAGCTGAAAATTGTGATTTCTTAACGGTCTATGCAAGTAGCACTAAAGAAAAAGCAGACAAAATGAAAGAAAAAGAAGCCTGTAAAGAAAAACAGCAAAGGTATATGATTTTTTTTTTTATCTTTTTATTCTCGAATTTACTTTGAACCTTTTCACATTTACTTTTTTCCAACACATCAATTTGTATATATTTTACATCAATTTTTAATCATATGCATATCAATCACCTCAGTGTGTGTTTGTGTGTGACGTTTCACGCCCAAAGTCATGTTTTCATGTTCGTTTTTACTCATGTACCATTTCTATTATCTTTAATATATTAGTATAAACAAATATATAAAAAAATCAGAACGGATAACAGAGCGTTTATATATTATTTTCCTCTTAATATAAAATATTTCAGCATAATATTGCCGAGACCTCGACCATCATCGCTTGTTTACTGTCCTTCGCATGATTCGGATGAAGACGGGTAAAGATTTAATTTTTCTTAGCTTTTTTAAATCGTACATGTGGAAATATATTTGCTTTTTAGCAATATTATGATTGGCTATTGCCTTTATTTTGCTTAAAAACTAAATGCTTTACAATATTACTTAATTTTGGCTTTTTATGTTTTTACTATTAAATTTTGTAGTTATTGTCTATAGATATTTTTCATTGTAATTCTTCTAATAAATTTTAATAAATCTATCACAAATAAGCTGTGCTGTATTATGCACAGATGTAAATGTGTATTGAGAGGAGAGAAAACAATGCTATGATCGAATGAAGGATCTGACCACGTTCCGTTCAATTTTCAGTTTAAAGATCTTTCGGGATCCTCCGGTTTTGTCTTTTGTAGTTAAAAAAACTCCTTCAAAAATTTGGATGGCATGAATTTCATTGGGTGATTGTAATAATTACGAGAACAGAAAGTAGAACCGAGCGTGTTTAGATCCTTGTAAGCAAAGCGTAGACACAGGATCTGTTTTTAATCAGATTGTGAATAAATATTTTAGACCTCAATTACGGAGAGACAGACCGACTTCCCTCATCTATTACCCAGCAACAGCCTCACGGTAATACACATGAATATTGCATGTTATAATAACAAAATAATTCTATTAAAATACCTAGTAAATTGATAATGAATTGAGCCATTATTTATAGTTAAGGTAGTAATTGTGGCGTCCATCTTAAATGTCAAATGTTCAGTATATATTTAAGTGAAATAAGCAAATTTCATATAGATCAGAATAAGGCTATTGTATTTGATATGATAATAGTATGATTGTATCAAATTTGACACAGTCGTATAACCCGGTTGATTCATTGAAAATGAAGTTAAAATAATTTGGTTTATGACTAAAGATAAATTGTACTTTTATTTTTTATACCTCTTTTTATGTTGAGAACGAAATGTACCTTTGAGTTAATTGAAATACTTTAAATATGTTTATTTTCTGTTTTACAGATTAAAGCAATATTCTCAAATTATATTTCAAAGCTCTATCCTTAAAGTTTTTGTTCAGTTTTAATTGTGTTTCCATATTTTGATTCCTTTTCTATTTTATTTTTTATTTTGTCACGCTTGTCCTAAAACAAGAAATACTTTTTAGTAAATAAAGGAAAAATATCAATTTCAATATTCACATAAACGTCAGTTTTTTCAAAGTGCATTAATCTTCCAAATGACATTGCCGTTTTCTGTTAAAAAACGTATTTCAAATTCTCTTTCGCCTTGCTCGTCGGAATTTAAATAATTTCTACTGTACATTCAATTGGCCATAAAGAAGAGAACAAAGGATTAGAATAAGTTGCTCTCAATTTCTTATCATTTTTACGACACAACTTTTATGACAATATTTATACAATTTGAAACCATCTGAAATATCTACTGTTCGATGTATCTCAGACTAGATAATAAACGTATCAGTAACTGTGCAAAACTGAAATACATTGTCGTAACTGTGAGGACCTTCTCTACAGATACATTTAAATCGTGAACTTTATATAGTATCATAAAAACCTAACCAAACAAACCACTAAAACCTTTTTCATGCTCCATGCACCCAACATCAAACTTTATAAACAGTAACCAGCTGTTGTAGAACTGGTTTAAATTAATGGGTTCTCAAAACATGAATCATACATATAGCAAACGGGAAACCCAAATTTCAAACGAAATAAAATGTATTCCCATACCGAGTTGATACAACTTAAAAGTACTTTATTTAACTGTTAAGGTGGTACATAACACTACAGGGAGATAACTCTGTAAAACTCAGCTGAACGTTTTAATCACGTTCTATTGTTAAGGAAACATTAAGCTTCTCAATGATCAAAATTAGTGTTTGTCAAACTGCTATAAATCCAATGAAATTTTTCCGATAAAGTGTGTGGTTCTCAAGATTTTTATATTTTTGTCAAAGGGTCAAAGTAAATATTTTGTCAAAATTATGTAAAAATAAAATTTCGAGCCAAATTAATTTTAGTCAAGGTGTTTGGTACAACCTTAAGTATGTCTTCTCTTTAAACTGGCCCTTATGAGTAATCTAACAGTTGTCATTATTCTTGGATAAGAAAGAATATATGCGTGACCACTATTCAAATATTCTTTCAATTTCGAAAAGAAAACATGTTTCCTTAAAGCAGCACCTATCAACTTACAATGGTTTTTGTAGACCTGTTTTACCATATCTACCACGTCTAAGACCCTCGTCATATGTATATGATATAAACAAAGAAAGGAATAGAGGGTAATTGATTGCATGTGGGATGTTTCAAGTCAGATACATATATAAATATAACATATATAGATAATTTAATCCAAGTCTGTATGTATTAAAGCATGAAGAACATATTTCCACTAAATTACAATAATGTAATTCAATTGTGATAATAATGTGTATGTGCTGTTGTTTTTATTTAACAAACACTACAAATAAGTTTTAAAAACACGAAAAAGAAAAATTGAAATCCCTTTGTAGATTTGCCGATTTTTACTTTCTAGATTTGGATTGTTTTCAGGCGTTTGGTTTACATCTTCAAATTCAGTACAGCCATATTAATTATATTTCAAAATTCTATTGATTTCCTAGTTTATGATACTATTTTCTAGCTCGTGTTAGGTTACTAATAACTGCGATAGATCTGATATATAACATGTATAATACATGGTTAATTAATAAATTTATCGTTTCCTATGAGTTTACTCATCTGCAATTTTATGGGTTTTGCAAAGACTTTATACATGGATAATTTTACTGACAATTTATTTGTGTGACACTTCGTAAATGTTTTGATCTGTTAATATAAGCTTTGCTTACTGATTGATATTGTATATAGTAGGAACATACATATTCACTGTCAATGTGTATTTCAGCCCAGTCATAGTAACTTCATTCAAAAGAACAGATTCGTCTTTATCTGTGAAAGAAAAGTCGAATGAACGGTAAAATATTTTGGGTTCAGGGAAAAAGTAGAAATCAATAGTTGTACACTTAGTTTAGAAACAAATTTTATCACTTTTAATTCCAATAAATTGGTATCACAGATTTATGGCCATAAAAAAGTAAATTTACATTTTGATATATATTGTGTATGCATACTAATTCATTCTGACAACGTCACGAAAGGGAATTTGTCAAATTGGTGCGTCAATCTTGGTGTATTCATGCTATTGACCATTAAAATCCATGCAGACAACTTTATCCTTAATAATGTTTGCTAAACAGATTTTTGATTTTTCATCAGATTTCGGAATCCTCTGGTTTTTTCTATTTGAATGCCATAAAACAAAATTCCCCGCTAACACTCATTTTTCTTTTCATAAATCTTTTACATGCAAGATAAGAAGGCATTTGTAATATCTTATAAAATCCTTGTTATTTTTCTAATGTTCTGAAAAATAAAACTAATCAATTTTAAAACTATGAAAAATCAAGAGAGAATAATTTTCCCGCCATATTTCCAATAGCTTATATCTCTAAAACAAGCACACATATTTTTTTTCGCTTTTTTAATTCCTTTATTGTTTCCCTATTAATATGTACCAGTGTTATGCAAAGCTTGCTATTTTGAAAATGAGTAGCAAACATTCTTAAGAACTAACTTTTGTTCGCCTTTTAGTTTTAAAACATCAAGATGATTGAATTTTGGAAATAGAATAAGAGACATATTATTGTCAATTAGCAGCCAAGTATTTACTTATATCTTTTGAAAGTTTGTGATTGATGCTCTTGAAAATAATGTCTGGACATAACCCAAGAATGTAGCAAATGTTGGAGGACATTCATTTCAAACATTTTCTAGACTAAATTAGTCATTCTGATCTTGACTTAAATTTCAACTTATAAATGCATGTCATCATTTCATAATGCAATGTACCTTACAGTCTCTGTGTTTTGGAGTGCAAAATAGTGTGGGGATACATCTCAAAACTGATTTGTATCTTCTTCTAACCTAAAGAATCAATTTGGTCGATTTTAGTCGATTAAAGCTCTATGAATCTAATCGACGGTAAAAAAAGCATATTTTAGTTCAGGAAATAAGTAGAGGTCAACAGTTGTGCATTAAGTTTAGAAAGAACCGATTTCATTCAAGTTTATGTCACTACAGAACGTTGAATTGAACGGGCGGTAAAATAGTTTTAAGTTCAGGAAACAAGTACAGGTCAAGGGCAAGATTTTGATTGTAGCTTTTCTTTTCGAAATGAACAACACATTTCGAAAACATACTAAAAGCTGTAATCACAACATGTATAAAGTAGTTAAAAATAACCAAGTCATAATCATTTTAATATAGTTTATGAATGTCAAATATATGTTTAAACTTAGTTTATTGAGTTGAGAGATATTTCTCTACTATTTTATGAATATTTCAGTTTTCCAAAACAAAGACCATTATCTGCATTTCCTCACGCCAATAGGTAATTTTTTTTGTTTTCCTTAAAGCTGTTGTAGACAAAAAGTAGATTTATTATGGTAATTGGATATGTCATTTGTTTATTTCATTGTAATAACACAGTTGAATATTTCGCTTTTAACCTTTAAACATACGCGGTAAATCATAAAAGTTTTTTTTTTAAAATCCCTTTGTATTTAAACAAAATGTATATTCTTTGAAACATTCTGAATATCCGTTAGTAGCTACCTAATTAGTGTATTCAAAAAGGTTCGTAAACTTGTTATTTTATTTTTTCTTTCTAGTGTAATGCACAAAAAGTACAAGGAAACGACTTCAAGATATTTCATGACACCATGTATTGAAGTCTTGATGTCAGCATGCAAAAGTCAAATGCTTTTATAAATAGTGTATGACATTACCCTTTTCGAACCTTTTAAGATGCAGAATTATGTACTTAGAGAAACCGAACTCTTTTTGTGTCCCAACCATATCATATATTCATACAATGTATGACAACAATAAAGTACACGCTTACCAAACACGAAATTTGATAGTTCTTTTATTATCTGATTTGGTTGGTTCTACATCTGTGACTTTTAAAACGTTTTCAATTAATACTTTTGGAGTTCGTGCGTTTCCATAAGTTTTTGTTTGTTACCTTGTTTTACAACAACAACAACAACAACAACAATACTTTATTTTAAGAGGGTTACACAGTTAGCTATATAACTAATCTTCCCTGATGCCCTCATCATAAAAATCAAACAAAATGCAAACATATGCATTGCATATTTTAGTATAAAAAGAAAAGTATGATAATAATGTTCAATACAACTTGAAAAAATAGGTGATGACCTAATCAGTTTTCAATATTTTTTATACAGCTAGGTTGATTTCAATAAATGATCTGTTATTTTGTATTTGAAAGAATTAACATTTGCAATATTTCTTAACGGTATTGGCACTTTATTCCACAAGAATGGTACAGAATACATAAAAGATTTTTTGAACAATTCTGTTTTTGGTTTAGGGAGTATGAGATTTCCTTGAATAGCGTTCTCAAGGGGTATGGATTTCTGTCTGAATGATATTTCATTCTCTGTTCAACTGTCATCCAGTTTAAGTGTTTGAATAAGGGCTCGGAAGGAGCGAAAGGGTCTGTTTCTAGTATTAATCTAGCAGCTCTCTTTTGTAATTTTAATATTCTATTTAAACCCTCACTGCTACAACTACTCCACATTATACAACAATAATCAATTAGTGGCAAGATATAACCATTATAGAATAATTTTCTGCAGTCTAGATTTAGAAATTTCTTAATCTTTAATAGTAGATATAGCCTAGCTGAAATTTTTGAGCAGATCACATCAATTTGGTTTGTCCATGTGAGGGAAGGGTCAATTTTAAATGCCTAAGAGACTTTCGCATGTGGAAGATTGTATCGCTTGATTGTTAATAGTTAAACAACTCTCATTGTAATGTGGCATTGCTTTTTGCTTTGTTCCAATAATCATATATTTTGTTTTATTTTTATTGATGAACATATTGTAATCATTACACCATTCCTCAACACCATGTAAATCTTCTTGTACCTTTGACTGCAGAGTTTGATAACAATTACCAGAAAGATGTAAAGCTGAATCATCAAGTTTTTGCATCTTTCTTATCGATTTACGAGATTTGAACATCGCTGAATCACTATCGCCATAATTTACTTCTTTATATTACAGGCGAAGATTATTTCAAGAAATCGCGACTAACACTTTTTGGTTTCATTCTTATGAAAATATAATTTGGGTAAATATAGAAAATTCTGCATTAAATAATTGATTGAAAAATGACTGTCAATGGCAATTTCATAAAAAAGCTAGGGTATTTGACTTCCGCAGTCCGAGTCAGATAATCAACTTGTTATTGTGGTCAATGCTGGCTCTGAACTGTAAGGGGCAACAATCGGATACAAATGTCCAAAACTCGTCAAACAATTTGTATTATTCAAATCAAGATTAAAAAAATTGATGGAATCGTATGATCGTGATCAGGTACATCGGCAAGAAAAGCATGTCTTGCTAGTCATACATTACCCGAAATGCGAATACACATTGATGAAGGTAAATTCAGAAAAGTGCTTCGGTCACATGAATTTAAAAAATGATTGAATCGTATGGAGCGTGATTAGATAACATCATCAAGAAAAGAATGATTGTCCTGATAAGCATACATTACCCGAAATGCGAAAACACATTGATGAAGATAAATTCAGAAAAGTGCTTCAGACACATAACATTTATACAGTGTTGGTTTGATTTTTTTGGGGGTCAAAATAGGAAAAAGGGCATAGGACACAATTGGTAAATGATACGGGTTATGTTCTTCTCATATATTTTATAACGGTATAATACTAAACCCCTTAGGAGGGATTGTGCCTGATATTCATATGATGAAGACATAATCTTTCAATCAGTTTAATTGAGGTCTGGAGCTGGCATGTCAGTAACTGCTAGTAGTCTGTTGTTATTTATGTATTATTGTCATTTTGTTTATTTTCTTTTGTTTCCTATTCTGACATCGGACTCGGACTTCTCTTAAACTAATTTTTACTGTGCGTACTGTTGTAAGTTTGTTTTTTCTACGTACAGAGGTATAGGGGGAGGGTTGAGATCTCAAAAAAACATGTTTAACCCCGCCGCATTTTTGCGCCTGTCCCAAGTCAGGAGCCTCTGGCCTTTGTTAGTCTTGTATCATTTTTTATTTTAGTTTCTTGTGTATAATTTGGAGTTAAGTATGACGTCCGTTATCACTGAACTAGTATACATATTTGTTTAGGGGCCAGCTGAAGGACGCCTCCGGGTGTGGGAGTTTCTCGCTGCATTGAAGACCCATTGGTGGCCTTCGGCTGTTGTCTGCTCTATGGTCGGGTTGTTGTTGTCTCTTTGACACATTCCCCATTTCCATTCTCAATTTTATTAAATTACCGTGAACACATGTCGCTTGGCTGTTGAGACACAAACACATTATATAGATTAACTTGTTCGTGATGGTGACCGTAAAACGTATCATGCAAAGCCTTATGTAGTGTTGATTTCAGTCTTCCCCCTATTCGTGCTGGAGCAGTTATAACGCACTCACAAAAAATCCATCTGCTGCATTTGCAAACATAGATTGAGAAAATTTATTTTTTATTTAGTCATTGCATTTTGTGCACATCGGTTTGTATAGGAAAGAACGTAACGGGTAAGCCGTGAAATCAATGGATTGTAAGGGTTTTAACATAACCATGTATATGAGGGTCTGTATAAGGGTTAACAGTATAGAGAAAAATTGCTCAATAATACAGAAAATCATAAAGAAAAAAAATGACCCCAAAAAAAGATTAGATAAGGATTCCCCAATCCAGACCTCGTGTATGTAATATTTGAAAATACGCAGTTAATGTCTCTCCAGAAAAAAAATCCACGATGAACTAGTATAGCATATACGGAGAAGCAGGGAAAACAAAATGCATTTACAAATATACAGTTCTTACTGTTACTGGCAAGTTATCTTTCTTTCTTAATTATGCATGCTTTCTTTAGTTTCCTTTGAGTTTGTAGATTTTAACATATGATGTGATATCCGTTTTTTCTTGTTTGAATAATGTACTACTACTTGAATATTGTTTTCAGCAAAACGTTCAGTATTTCTAATATATTCTCGTGTCATGAAAATGTGTAACTTACTGAAGCGTATTTTCTTAAGAATCACAATGTTTTGTTCTCTGTGGGCTTATTTTTGATAGAATAACTTTGTGTATCGATCAGATGTGGCGATAGTTAGAGTTAATGAAAGGGTTTTGGTTGTAAAATTGCCTGTATTTTTTAATTTTTTGCAATTTTCAATATCAACTATTTTACTGTAATCACATGTTAATGATGCCTTATAAAATTATATTTCGACTCTTAAGTTTTAATATATTATGACATTTTAATGTTCAAAAACATAATGACTATTGTTACGATATTTAGAAGAAAACATGAAGTTTTTGGATTGAACTTAATATGCCATCTTAATTCAAACAATAGAAAGGGAAAAATAAATCATTTTGTCCGGCATTTAAAAATTCATGAAATAAACATTATAATTAAGTAAATATAACGATTACAACTTATTCTATGTTTGCTTGCAGTGAATTTTCAGCAGAAAAACAAAACACCAGACTGCAGCCAAGACCATTTAGTGATCATCCCTTTGTTGTAAGAACTCTGTCCGTTAAAGATCGGAGAAAGATGCTAAACCTGGCTCCTGTTCGAAATCAGGAAACATCAGAAGGATTTAAAAAATTCAAAACTGTCCACCCCAATCTCTCACTAGAACATTATTTGAACTTAGTAGTGCCACATCGGCAAACTCGATCTAGCAGCAACTCAACAACACACAGTTTAAATGCAACGAACGAGATGGAAGAAAAAAACACAAAGCCTGCTTTACACAAAAAGAATATACAGTTAAATTTAGATGGTCCAGGTGATCCTTGGACACCTAAATTTGAAATGAAACGTAGTTTAAGCAGAGGTGCTATAAATCTCCCTAGACATTATATTTATAGTGCAGGACATTCACGGAAACGATCAACATCTACTCCGGATTCATTAGGTGCGAAACAGTGGCCTAACAGATCGGAGCTAACTTTATCACGTGCAAACACATATCATGACAACATTGATAATGAACTGTCAGTGAACGTATTGTCTTCCAGTCGAACAAACCCTCCAAACGTACAACGGGTATATGGCCAGCGATTTAGATGTTGTGAACGTATTCATGCTTTGATAAACAATGAAGATTTAGATAAAAAGTCTAAAGATAGACACATAAAATTGTCAGTTGATAATATGAAATGTGACAAAACTAATCCTGTGTCTTTTGGCTCGTTCGGAATTCGAAAAGGCATGTCAAGAGAAGATAATCCAGTTTCATTATCGTGTATGTATAAGCTTAAACGAGATAGGCAACGTCGATTTAACATTTCATTGGTGAAATAAGAAGACTAAGGGATACAGATCAATATAAGAGAGTGAGAAAATAATCATTTGTCTTTCACTCATTGACATATTATAAAAACATTTATTAAAATATTTATTGATACTTTTTTCAATTTTTCAAATGGTTGGGTTAGAGGCAGACACATTGTTTAAATAACACAACTAATGTATACATTAATACTAGGAGAAATCTTGAGGTATTCATGTTATGTGTATTCAAACATATTGAGTAGGTTACAAAAGGATAAATATGGGCTGCAAAAATTATTTCGATTGAATTTGAAATATAGTTATAGTCATTGTAAATGTTGTATGAACAATTTGTAAAGTTTCTTAGAATTATAGATTCAATAAGCACAAGCACTTCGGGTCCCACATGTGGAGCAGGAAGTGCTTCCCAATCCGGAGCACCAGATTTATACCCCGATATTTTGGTGTGGTTTGTGCCCATCAATCTATAGTCTTCAGAGTTATGTTTTGGTAGTTTTGTTTGCGTCTTTCCGTGGTTTTTATTTTAACCGTGGTGTTTTCGGGATTCATTTGATCTATAGTTTTTTATTGCAACCTCGTTGTCTTCTATTTTTTTCATAGGACAAATTTTATAGTATCTAACTGAATATCTTGATCAATCTAGAACAATACCAAACTTTCAAAGCTATCGACAGTCCTAAACATACATTTGCTAGAGGTACTTAGTATAGGGGAGGGTTAAGATCTCACAAAACATGTATAACCCCGCCGCATTTTTGCAGGAGCCTCTGGCCTTTGTTAGTCTTGTATGGTTTTTTTTTAATTTTAGTTCATTTATATGTTTTGGAGTTTAGTGTGACGTCCATTTTCACTGAACTAGTACACATTTTTGTTTAGGGGCCAGCTGAAGCCCGCCTCCGGGTGCGGGTTTTCTCGCTGTGTTGAAGACCCATTGGTTGCCTTCGGTTGTTTTCTGCTTTTTGGTTGAGTTGTTGTCTCTTTGACACATTCCCCATTTTCATTCTCAATTTTATAAAACATGAAAAAAGAAAGATTGAGAGATGTGGTTATATTAATTGCATATTAGACGAATTTCCTCCAGAGACAAATGGAAGAGGATTAAATCAACTACAGGTCACCGTACGACATTCAAAAATGAGCAAAACATATTCCGTGTAGTACGCTATTAACGGATGACGAAGTGTTAAACAATTCAAAAGATAAAACTAAAGAACTGTTATATGCTTTAAGCAACAAACGATAAACAGTTATGAAAAACATCAACCAACCACAAGCACTGGAGTAAAGGCTCCTAACCTGGGACATGCACAAAACGAAAGTGGCGGGGCAAAGAGTAATGATTATTTGATAACATTTTGTATATACAGTCAAATATCCGTATTTAATTGTTTTAATTAATGTTGTGTTATTAGATTTGGACTTCAAACTGTAAGTATAAAATGCCCAATACATGAGCAGCAAACTTACTCCAAATGATATTTTGCTTCATGATATCATATGAATTCACCGTCTTGCTAATCATTAGTTTTCTGTGTCAGTAGTGTTTTATGGACTTGGTCATTCAAATGTTTGCCTTGGGTTCATTTGGTTTTCTTCTGATGGGTTTATATTGTTCCATTTGTATATTCTCCGCCTTTGTATCTAGATTGCAGAATTATATTTATAATTTTGTAGATTCATTAGTATAAGAGGGTACTACATGTCATTTTCATAGATTTCGTGGGTGTAAGTGAACAACGAATTTAAACTTCTTAACAAAATACAAATTTCCTATAGGCGTGTATTTTTCGAAATCCGCGAAATCAAGAATCCGCGACGATACATTATTTTCCTGAATCCACGACAATAATAATTGAGCCCACAGTATGAAACAGTCATTATTGACATCTTTTACCCATCATATTTGGTTTGTAGGAAAGTTGTGTACCCCGAAACTATACTTGAATTAAACATACATGAACATATAATCAGCATGATCAGTGTGAATTGATAGATATTAGTTATATACATGTGGAAATACCTAAACCAATTTAATTATAATAAAAAAATATATAAAGCATTACGAACAACGAAAAGAATACGTTAAGGACCTTCGTCTTGTAAAATATACTTTGTATATTTGAATTATCTCAACAACTTGAAATCTTGCTTTGTAAGTAGATCAAACGTAATTTAAGCAGGCAAATCCCTAAAAGTGCTTCGAACTTTTCGGACCTTCATTTTTTACAGCACTGAGTCGATACAAATGCAGCCTCGGTAATGACATGATTTATAACATGCTTGTCATAGATTATCCGTTTATAAAATTAGATTAAAATTTCGGAAACTAAGGTTCTAGCTCCCTGAGGCAAAGTTGACCTTCGATGGATTTTACTACGATTTTTTGTCCCTTTTTGGTCATCATGGTCATATAGCTCTTCAAGTGTATCGATACTTATACAGCTTTAGTTTTTGAAATATTTGGCTTTGAACGTTCCTGTAGAAGGTAGATTCGAAAAAGTGCTTCGGACTCATTTGATTGATAAAATAGGGTCGAAAGATACTAAAGTGACATTCAAACTCATAAGTCGAAAATAAACTGATAATGCCATGGCAAAAAAGAAAAAAAACTATAAATACAAACAACGGTTTACAAAACACAATATAGAAAACTAAAGACAGAGCAACACAACCCTACCAAAAACTTGGGTTGATCTCAAGTGCTCCGTAATGGTAAGCAGATCCTGCTCTACATGTGGCACCCGTCATGTTGCTTATGTAAGTACCAACCCGGTGACAAGTCTAATTCGGTAGGTCACATTCGGGGGAAAGGAGGACGGGAGTGTGGTTACGACGATTAGTACATATCCGTAGTCATCTGTATAAAGTGTTATTTTTCCAGTTATTATGAAATAAAGGACTTGAATGAAGGTCATGTTGGACAATGTTTTTCAATGAATTTGAAATAAAGTTCACCACATATCTCTACTTACATTAAGAAAATATGGTCGAATGAGATTCATTTTTTACGAGAAAAAAGAGACGCTTTCAGCTTTCCTTGTGAATTGTGAACTTTTTTATTCTGCAAAATCCAAGTTTTATGATAGATGGTTACTATGTGCATAATAAGTGAGATGTAATATCCGTCAATTTCATTGTATTAGTAAACGTTGTTATGTTTCTTTGAAGTCTGATTTAACACAGCTATTTAACGAGCTTGCTTATTGACCTCATTAGTTAAAAGTCTACGCCTTTTAAAAGTGCTTGGTGACGTCTGAACACTATATCCATGTTTGGGAGAGGGGGTTAAAAGAGGACGATAGCAGGTGCTCCGGAAGGGTAACGTAGATGGTGTTCTTTGTTAATGTGGGACAGATAGAGTTTATCGTTCATTTTTTACTTCATTATATAATAACAGATAAACAACTGGACTATTCACCAACAGGGAATAAACATTTACTATGATCACCATACTTATTTCCCAAGCATACATGATCTGCAATACATTTGAGCTATTCCTTTAATAACAAGGATTTCTTATTCTACTGTCTTTGTCTATTAATTAAAGATATGTTGTTTATTTAAAATAAAATCATCTTTTGTTGTTGATAAAGTTAAGAGATGGTTAGGAGAAAACATAAGTTTTGTAATTGAAGGCAAACATCAAAATGTAAACCTATCGCCTTGGATATGTGTATACGATATACGATATAAATTAAGTGTTGTTTGCGACATTTGTTTTTTATTAGGTTACACCACATATATATTAACTTATCTAATATGATGTAGAAGAGACGCGGCAGATACCAAAGTGATATTCATATGTCGAAGCCAAACTGACAACGGCATGGTAAAAAACGAACAACAGTTTACAAAACATAAGATAGAAAACTAAAGACTGAGCAACACGAATCCCACTAAACTCCTGACATGATTTCAGGTGCAATGGAAGTCAATGATATAATGCTCCACATATGTGATGTCGGAAGTACCATAACACTTACCATACTGATAAATAAACGAGTATACAAATCCAGAGGGGAAACATCATACCTGTAAAAAACTTATTTCAGACGGAATAGCACATCCTAAATTTTACGGTGATGTTGTTTACCGAGCCCGGAAATTTATATTTTAAATAAACTTATTCTAAAAGGTTGCCAATTCAACACTGTAATTATATCTTTGTATTTTGTTTTTATTGATACAAATATTGATTTTGTTATCAGTAAATTAAAATCATACTAAATAATTTTTTTTATACACATATGCACTTTAACGGTACTGCAATCTGTCGATACTTTTATTTTGGCATTGCACAAGGTCGTGATTTTCTCTGACTGTCAATGACGTCTTTACACTAAATCCATTGGATGTTGGATGTGTACTGATTGATTTTTTAGTCTTAGATACATGATTTTTTTTATCAGTTAGTATTGGCTTTGAACTAGCTGTCAGTAACTGCGAGTACTCTCAGATCTGTTCTTAGTGTCCTTTTTGATGTTATGGATGATGAGGGATGGATAAATACCCTGCCACGTCCAGTCTGTGTTTATATTTAATGTTTTTCTGCTAAATTTATATCGATCTGATGAGTTAAGCCTTTTTCAAATGATTTTTATAGTTTGTTCTTATGTTGTGCTGTTACCCCACTGTCCCGGGTTAGGGGGAGGGTTGAGCGCTCAAAAACATGTTTAACCCCGCCACATTCTTTATATGCCTGTCCCAAGTCAGGAGCCTGTAGTTCAGTGGTTGTCGTTGGTTCATGTCTGTCATATTTGTTTTGTTACAAATTAGGCCGTTAGTTTTCTCAATTGAATTGTTTCATATTTTTCATTGTGGGGCCTTTTATAGCCGACTATACGGTATGGGTTTTTCTCATTGTTGAAGGCCGTACGGTTGCCTATAATTGCTTACATCCACTTTATCTGAACTTTGGTGGATAGTTGTCTCATTGGCAATCATACCTCATCTCCTTATTTTCATATGGTTAATCATCCCGCTGCAAATGTCTGCAACTGTCCTTAGTCAGGAATCTGATGTACAGTAGTTGTCGTCTGTTTATGTAGTTCATAGTGTTTCTCGTTTCTCGCTTTTATATAGATTAGACCGTTGGTTTTCCTGTTTGAATGG